CACTGAGCCATCTCACCAGCCCCTTCTGTTCTTTTTTTTGACACAGGGTCTCACTATGCCAAAAAAACTTGGCCTTGAACTGACAGCCCTCCTCCTGCCTCAGTCTGTCTAGTGCTGCCATTACATGTGTACACCACATGCCTGGCATAAACTTAGTTCGAGGGAATAAAATAATAAATACCTTCCCAAGTCTAAATTGTTTAAATAAAATGCTTAGCCTCACTAGGTGAAAAGTATAAACATTGTTTTGAAAACACGCAATGTGTTGTTCAGATTTAATCCCTATAATCACATATGCTAGTATATGCAGAAGAATGTTTAGATGAAACAAGCAGTAAATATTTATTTAGTATAAAACTTATTTACATGTATAAAAAGTATATATAACAGGAAACCCATTAAAATACAAAGATAATTAAATTTTAAAAATGCATTAAAATGAATTGCTCTTAGTAGATCATGAAAATACTGATATATTTGTACTGAATTACATTAAATTGTTAGGAAAATTATAAGCATCTTCAATAATGGCTCTATTACATTTTTCTTTTTTTATGAATTTAGGACAGGGTCTACAGGATGTACAGGGTCTCACTATAGAGATTGGACTCGTAGTGATCCTCCTGTTTTCTGCCTCCCAAGCACTGGGATTACAGGTCCACACCACCACACCCAATCTCGATCACCACCTCAGTGTCCTCCAGAGGCGGGGCCGACACAACTGGGGATCAAACCCTCGCTGCTGTGCTCTGCTGAAGCCAGCCTTTACATTTTTCTTTTTATATTGAAAGTATCACAACCTCAATGCACGATGCTCTATAAATACCAATGACTTCACAATCCCAAAGATAAATTCTAGATTCATTCAAATTAGAGCATCTGTTTTGCACTAAATGACGGCAGACACAACAGACTAGGCTGCTGTTAGGCAGGGGTGGCATGAAGGGCAGTATTACAGGTTCCAAAGTTATTTTTATAGTTTTAGATTTCTGGGAGTCAATAGAAAGAAATGAATTCATGGACTATTTCAAGTTATGATTCAGTAAAAGATTACACATATTTCTTTTATTTCTATTTACCTAAATAGTTCTCACATATGTGTGAGAATACATACATATATATGAGAATTGCTTATAAATTTCGAACATGGACTTAGAATTAAGGATCTTTGGGTTATAATTAGAGGTAGTATAACTCTATAGGTATGAGACAGGACTAGAAAAGTCTGTTTGTTCATTCTAAACTTGGCTCTCACCAGGATTTAGAAGAGCATAAATGGAATTTGTTAGATTTGTTAGATTCCAGTTATGCCTTAGTTTGAGTAAAGTCAACTCTGTAATGTTTTAAAGAGGGTAAAAGTAAGTGCAAGGTGCACAGTTATTAGGGAACAGATGCTTATGTAAAGTTAAGAGATGACTAATAGCAAATTTTATAGGTAATGTGGGTAGCTTAAAAAAATCATCTTTCTTAATGAAACCTACACATTGTTAGATGATTTATATATGACAAGCCAACAGAGACTCTGAGAATTTAAAAGGATAAAGTCTTTTGCAGTATCTAATGATTAAGACTTCCTTTTATCTGCTGTAATAGAGATCATACTGCCTTAAAAAAGAGACCCACGGAGCCGTAGTATTGGCACACACCTGTAATCCCAGCACTCTGGGAGGCTGAGGCAGGAGGATCAGAAGTTTGAGCCCAGCCTGGGTAATTCAGCTCTTGGTAAGGCCTTGGCTCAAAATATAAAGGGCTGGGGACATAGCTCAGTGTTAAGGCCCTCAGTCCAAACCCAGTATGCAAGGGAAAGAGAGAGAAGAGAGAAGAGAATGAGACACTCATATTCCCATATGTACTGTAATATGAAGTATGCTTTCTAAACTTAATTTAGTAGGAATTATCAAAAGTATGGGGTTTTTAATTACAGCTTTGTAAAACTTATAAAATATTTTCTTTTTTGTTTTTATTTTATTGTTACTTTTTTTACTAGTACATTTTCAATAATTAATACATTGTATTATTACTTTTTAAAAAATATATTTCTTTTTAAAAAATTTATTTATTTATTTATTTATTTGTTTATTTATTTAGTGTGTGTGTGGCCAGCTCAGCCCACCAGGGGGCAGGGCTGGCTGGCATGTGGGGCTGGGGGATTGAACCGCCGTCCCTGTGCTTTGCTTAGCTTAGCTTGTTCTAAGTAGGTGCTTTAGACCACTGAGCCATCTCACCAGCCCTGTATTATTACTTTTTAATGTATTTTGTTTTTACAGAGTCTTATTAGGCAGCTTGGACTCACAGTGATCCTCCTGTTTTCAGCCTCCCTAGTGCTGGCGTGTGGTGCCAGGGATCAAACCATGGTCCCTGTGCTTGTCTAAGCTTGCCTAAGCAGGTGTTTTAGTCCACTGAGCTATCTTGTCGGCCCTCAAAATAAAATATTTTCTAAATGATCTTAACAGGAAAAGTGTAGTGTCTGGCAAAATCATACAGAACAGAATTTCCTGTTCTACTTTTTTAGGGTGCATTATTTTTTATATCCTTAAAAGAACAAATTCATATATATATATATATATATAATATTATATAGTTATATACAAGTTATATACAGACATACATAGATAAAAGCATAGATATAGATAATTTAATAATATCAGTGGGGTATGCACTTATCAGTAACTTTATCAGTTCTAATAAATCTTAGACGAGAGGCTTATGTATTTTTTTTTATTTAAAAAAATTTTTTTGTGGAATCGAGGACCAAACTCAGGCTCTTGCACTTGCCAGGCAAGCATTTATTCCACTGAGCCATCTCCCTAGCCCCTTAAATTAGTGTTGTTTTTTGTTTTTGTTTTTGTTTTTTTTTTGATATGTATTTATTTATTGTGGTACTGGAGATCCCAAGGGAGGCTTACTTATTGATAACATAATCTTTGTAAATCCTTGATGTTTCAACTCAGTAGCATCTGAAAACTAACTCCATTGTAAATAGTACTTTTCAGAAAATGAAAACTAAGGGCTGGTGAGATGGCTCAGTGGTCTAAAACACCTATGTAGAACAAGTGAAGCAAAGCACAGGGACCGCAGTTCAATCCCCCAGCACCACATGCCAGCCAGCCCCGCCCCCTGGTGGGCTGAGCTGGCCACACACACACACACACACACACACACACACACACACAAATAAAGAAAATGAAAACTACTGGTCCTGCTTGTTGTAATGAGAAATGACTAACTTAAGAACTAAACTTGCAAAATATAGTATTACATAATAAATTAAAATAAAAATCAAGTGATTACTTAAAGGTTAAAGATTTAGATTTTTTTTTCCAGAACCAGAGATTGAACTCAGGCCAAGCAAGTACTTATTCTATTTAGTTATCTCCCCAGCCCCCTAAAGATTTAGATTGAGAAGGAGTTTTTGTTTGTTTGTTTGTTATTTCAGACTGCCTTAAGGGCAGGTCCGGTACAGCTTCTGGAGCTGGGAATCGAACTGTGGTCCTATGTGCCTGCCTGCATTTACCCAAGCGGCTCTTTAAATAACTGAGCTATCTGGCAAAGCCCCCAAGATTTAGATTGAAATGTCAAATTTTGTGAAGTGTTTCCAAACCCTCAAATTTACTTTAGGGGAGGTTTATTTTTTGTTTTTGGTGCCAAGGACCAAAACCCAGAGCTTCCAGCTTGCTAGGCAAGCATTCTACCTCTGAGCCAAATCCCTGGCCCCTCAAATTTAATTTAAAAATGGGTCCAATACCTTGATGGAAATTGGAATATTGTGGAAGATTGGAAAAGTTTTTTTTTTAAATATTTGATATAAGAAATCTACAACCTTTGTACAAAGGATACAAATACTTTCCTGGCTCTAGGGATAGATAACAAAGATTTTTTTTTTTTTTTAAATTTGACTGAGTCTCACTATGCAGTTCAGGCTGGCCTTGAGCTCATTCTGTAGCCCAGGCTGGGCTGGAACTCGCTGGTCTAGAACTCACAAGATCCTCCTGCCTCAGTTTTCTGAGTGCTGCAAATGTAGGCATATGCCACCGCACCTGGTGAGATTTTTTTCCCATAATTTTATTGAGAAACAAATAGGAATGAGACAGTTTCAAATCAAATTAGTAGGACAGTTTCAATAATTAACACATTACATACTGTCTTCCTAGTGGCTATTTGTTGTACAAGACGCAGACATGATATCATATTTACAAACACTATTAGAACAAATCCCTCTATTCATTGAATTAAGAGAATGTAGCTGTATATCTATCCTAACCATTTTGTATACACAGATACAAAATGGTCATTCATCTGTATCCCCTTTTTTGTTTAGTTCTGTCATTTAAATATTATAGGTGTGTGAACTCAGCAAAATATTCCAAAATAGTCCAGTAGTCCATAATAGTATTGGGTCTTCCACATGACTGGCAATGTCAGAAGTTGTTGACCTGAGTCCTCTATAGTTCAACATAATAACATGACTTTATTCTTTATACCTCATTTTATACTTTTCTACTGGATGGTTAAGACCAAGATAAAGCAAGACCTATGTAACAAGAGTTGTAGCTTTTGGATCTGACAAGGTCAGTCAAATCCCCTCAGGATTTAACCTGAAGCCCTATACCTCAGTTTGTAGATCCTTTGTCAGTGTGTGCCATGTGGATGAGTCATGGCCGTTGCTTGACCAATTTGTTTTCTTTTTTTTTTTAATATTTTATGATTTATTAATTTTTACAACAGCAACCCAATTTGTTTTCTATGAAAGCCTGAGAGAATGTTTTCTCTCCATGTGACTCTCCTTATGGCGAGATTTTTAAATCATTAGAATATACATTACCAAAAAAAGTGCTTTCTTCTTAACTGTGTTGATAGAGTCAAAGTCTCTTATCAAGATACAATGATCAGGGGCTGGGGAGATGGCTCAGTAGAATAAGCGCTTGCCTGGCAAGCACAAGGCCCTGAGTTCAATCCCCAGTTCCACAAAACAAAACAAAACAAAACAAAACAAAACAAAACAAAAAAAGATACAATGATCAGGGTCCAAGATGTCAGTGAAATTATGATGCCATTCACATGTTTAGTCCTCTTTCATTCCTTGCAGTTTGTAGCAGAGAGCTGAGTAGCTGGTGTCTTTTTTTTGGTTCAGAGAGAATAAACCACTTGAATAATATGAATTTCTTATATTGAGATATCAGGGTGGGCTTAGTGATATGGGAGTGACATAGACTTTTTAAATACCCTAAATCCTTTTGCCAGCCCAGGATAAGGTGGTGGTGGTGAAACACTGTTTTTTCTGTTCAGTTCCATTGCCTGCTCATAGGAAGGTAATCCGGTGTCTTCCACAGATGGCACCGACGGAGACAGAATAGCTTCCTCAGGTCTTCTGAGATTAATGGAAAAGCTGCCATTTCTTGCATAGGCGACTGAACAACTAAACACAGAGACAGTATTTAGATCTAAGACAGGTAACATTTTGGGTTTAAAATCCAACGACTTATGAACTCAATTCATTAATAATAATAAAAAGCTTTATTTTACCCACACACTCTGAAAAAAGTCTTGGAATTGTAGAAAGGCCAACAGCTTTGAAGTCAGCCATGGGTTCAAAATTTGACTCTGGAATATCATGATTAATGTCATTTACCCGGCTCCACTTCCTCCTCTCTAAAATGGGGATAGCAAGAGCTTCCTCAACAGACTTGTCCCGGGTGAACTAAGTATGATGCTGTATGTAAGGCTTCAAGCAATGTCTGACCCACTTCATAAGAAGGACTCAAAATGTGTGAATTCCCTTTGCTCTAGATCCTGAATGTAAACGTTCCCAAAGCATTATGGGAAAACAAATGTGGGCTTTGTTGACAGCAGTACAACCCCAAGCCAAGAAAGCAGGTGCCACATAGATAATCACAATGGCTGATGCCTGTCCCTGTCCTCTGTGGCTTCCAGCAGCCCTGCCATCTGGTCAACCCTTCCCAGACAGTACCTACATTAAATCACCCACCTCCTCGAATTCTAACTGCAGCCTGCTTTTCACTGAGTCAGTTCTAACTCCTGAGCCTCCTTTTTGAAACCTCCCTAATTCTGGCCTTTCCTTACATTTTGTAGCTCTCTGCTCTTGCCAGGCAGTTTCTTTACCCTCCACTCTATATCCACTGAATTCTCTGGCCCTTCTTTGTGCTTTCACTGGTATTGTTTTTCTTGGAGTGTTGTCCATTCCTCTTCCATTGATCTAAGCTCAACAACAGCAATTTTAAAAAAATATGGTTTAGTTTAGGGCTATGGATATAGTTTAGTGGTAGAGTGGTTGATTAGCATGTGCAAAGTACTAGGTTTAATCTCCAGTATGGGGGGCGGGAAATGGCAAGATTGGGCAAAGTAGGGAGATGAACTAGCCATATATACAACATTATACTGGACCAACATTGAGTGTAATTAATCTTGCTTAGAATACAAGAGATGGGGGCCAGGGAGATGGCTCAGTAGAATAAGTGCTTGCCTGGCAAGCACAAGGGGCTGAGTTCAATCCCCAGTTCTGCAAAAAATAAATAAATAAATAAAACAAGAGATGCCCAGAGTTCTAAATTTTACAATAACATATATATATCGCCTACATATATTTTAATTTTTAATTTTTTGGCAGAAAAAATTAAACTAAGTTTAATTTTTAAATTTAATTTAAAAATTAAATTAAGTTCAATTCCCAGATTGAATTCAGGCCCTTGTGCTTGCCAGGCAAGCACTTATTTTACTGAGCTATCTCCCCAGCCCTTATCTTCTATATAAAAGATAGAGTTTAGTGGTAGAGGGCCTGCCTAGTGTAATGAATTGGGTTCATTTCTTAGCAACAGGGAGAGAGAGAGAGAGAGAGAGAGAGAGAGAGAGAGAGAGAGAGAGAGAACACATGGGTTTAAGTCCTACCAGTTTTGTAAAACCTTGGAATGGAATGCAAGTTGAAATACAACTTTGTTTTTTCTTCTCATTTTTAAATTAACAACCACAATTAATTAACTGTTATGGGGAAATCAACCCCTAGAATATGCTAAACAAGCCCTCTACCACTGCGCTACACTCCTTTACTTCAAACTATAATTTAAACATCAGTAAATGGATCTTTTTAGACTGCAGTTGGCTGTCTATAAAATATCTATGCATAAACTGACCTGTTGCAGATATGGCTAATGATATAATTAAAATTCATAGTATTAACCAACCTGTAGTCAATGGTTGTAACTCTCTCCCCATTTAGTTTCAGACTCAAAATGCCATAAACTTGTCTAACCTACATCAGTCAATTTGCCCTGTAAAAGCTGCTGGGTCACAATTTTACAAATTGCCCCATAAAAGCTGCTATAATTCTATATTCAGTTTTTTAAAGAATTGTCAAACTGTTTTCCACAGCATCTGTACCAGTCTATATTCCCACTAGTAATACATATATACAGTTCAAATTTCTCCAAATCATCACCAATATTTTTTCTTAATGGTGGTGCTGGGGAATTGAACCCAGGTCCTTGTGTAGGCAAGGCAAGAGGATCACCACTGAGCCCCAGCCCCAGCCCTAAACCCATGACTAGTAGTACAAGCATAAATTTCGTGTGGCTGACACCCCAATTAGTCCACAGGTTTCTGTCATTCACTACTGTTCATCAGAGGTTAGATCTTTTTTTTTTTAAATAAATTTTATTGGGCTGGGGAGATGGCTCAGTGGAATAAGTGCTTCCCCGGCAAGCACAAGGGCCTGAGTTCAATCCCCGGTTCCGCCAAAAAAAAAAAAAAAAAAAGATAAAAATAAATTTTATTTATTTATGTGTGTGTGTGTGTGTGTGTCCAGCTCAGCCCACCAGGGGGCGGGGCTGGCTGGCATGTGGTGCTGGGGGATTGAACTGCGGTCCCTGTGCTTTGCTAAGCTTGTTCTAAGTAGATGCTTTAGACCACTGAGCCATCTCACCAGCCCCAGAGGTTAGATCTTTGTTGAGACTCTTGCTTATCATTTTCTGCATCAGTCTTGGTAGGACAGGATGAACATTCCTAGTGCAAAAGCCTAAAATCCAACCTGGGGGGTGGGGAGATGGCTCAGTAGAATATCAGTAGAATAAGCACTTCCCTGGCAAGTGCAAGGGCCTGAGTTCAATCCCTGATTCTGCCAAAAATCAATCAATCAATCAATCAAAATAAAATCCAACTTGTTCCAAAGTTGGAAACTTTTGAGTACTGAATGAAAAATTTCACACCTGATCTCCATCAAAGGGATACAGTCAAAACACAAATGGGCTAAAAACAGTCTATAAAATTACCTTGAGGTTATGTGCATAAGACGTATATGAAACATACATGGATTCTCCGTTTAGACTTGTGTCTCATCCCCAAGATGTCTCATTATATAAAGGTAAACATTTCTAAAAATTTAAAAAGTCCTAATACCCATCTCTGACAGGACTAAACTGGACAGGGGGGATACAGCGGAAGGACCATTTTGTATTTGTATATACAAAATAGTTAGGATAGATGTATGGCTGCTTTTGCTTGGTTCAGTGAGAGGAAGGATTTGTACTAGTAGTGTTTGGATGGGATGTCCTGGCTGCTTCTTGTGCTGTGGATGACCACTGAGAAGATAACAATGTGCAATGTATTAATTACTGAAAATGTCCTATTAATCAGCTTGGAAAGTGTCTCATTGATATTTGTTTCTCAATAAAATAAAAAAATTAAAAATAAATAAAAATAAAAAAAAAATTAAAAAGTCCTAAATCTAAAACACTCTGGGCCCAGGGAGATAGCTCAGTAGAATAAGTGCTTGCCTGGCAAGCATAGGGTTGAGTTCAATCCCCAGTACTGCAAAAAACAAAAAGCAAACAAACAACAACAACAAAAACCACTTCTGGTCTCAAGCATCTATCTCAAAAAAAACCAAAACAAAGCAAAACAAAAAAGTTGGAGTGCATATCTGTAATCCCAGAATTCTTTGAGACTAAGGCAGGGGATTACAAACTCCAGCCCAGCCCGGGCAATTCAGTAATGCTGCAAGACTCTGTCTCAAAATAATGTGGGGCACTTGCCTGTAATCCTAGCACTCTGGAGCTGAGGCAGGAGGATCACTGCAAGTTCGAGACTAACCTGGACAACAAAGTGAGCTCAAGGACAGCCTGAATAGCATAGTGAGACCCTGTCTTAAAAAAGACCAAAAAAAAAAAAAAA